AAACTAAAACCTTTGGTGCCCCATATCGAGTAAAGACTTGAGAATACAATATTTCTGCAATTTCAGAAGCCTCTTGAGTTTTCAATGGAAATGCCTCTGGCCAACGAGAAAATGACTCTACCACTAACAAAATATATTTATATCTCTCATTTGTCTCTGGTAGTGGCCCTAAAATGTCCATATGCCATGTATGGAAAACATCATTGATAGGTAATGGTTGCAATGGAGCTGGATGATGGTGATATTTTCTTTTTGACCTTTGACAAACTTCACAGGATTTTACGTAATGTTTGACATCCTTGTAAACAGTGGGCCAAAAATACTTCAGTCGAATCTTTTCTAAAGTTCTTTGAAACCCTTGATGACAACCACCTACTTTAGAATCATGATAAAATTTCAACAATTCACTTCTCATTCCCTTAGGAATTACTATTTGTTCAACAACTCTACAATCACCTACTCTTTTCTTTTGTTTACTTTGGTAATGATGACACAATATTCCACACTCATCTATGAAATAATTATCTTTCAGATATTGCTCACTTTTATTCAATGGAAATTCTGTAGAAGCTAGAACCTTGAAAATCACATCTAAATCCACTGAATTCTTTTGTGCCTTAACCAGATCTTCACTTTCAACAGTTATTGAGTACACAGATATATCTTCCTCAGCTTTTGTTTCCTGACTGTGGTCTTCACTGACCTCATTTTCATCATTATATTTCTGTCTAGACAAACAATCTGTTGGATTCAACCGACCTTTCTTGTAAACAATGTCAAAATCTAAATCCTGCAATTGCAGCGACCATCTCTCTAATTTCTGATTTGTAGACCTTTTTGATTTGAGCCATTCTAATGGTTTGTGGTCTGTCACTACAGTAAAGTGATTTGTTTGCAAAAATTGTCTAAATTCCTTTACACCCTCAACAAGTGCAAGACATTCCTTTTCTGACGTGCAGTAATTCTTTTCTGAACTTCTTAAAACTCTTCCACCATATGCAATTGCATGCTCTCTATTGTCATCACCAATCTGACTCAACATGTAACCAATCGCAAAATCAGATGCATCAGTAGTCAACTTGAAAGGCTTATTCATATTTGGATAAGCTAAAATTGGAGCTTTCACTAACTGGTCCTTTAACTCATTAAAGGCTTTATTTGTTTCCTCAGTCCACTCAAATTTTTCTGAATCTCTTGTTAATCTACATAGAGGAAATGCTATTTTAGCATAATTTCTAACAAATCTTCTGTAATAATTGGCCATTCCAAGAAAACTTTTCATTTCTTTTTGATTTTTTGGTTTTTGAATTTTCTTCACTGCCTCAACCTTTGACATATCAACTTCTATGCCATTTTTGGAAATAACATGTCCCAAAAATTTGATTCTTTCTGTGACAAATTTACATTTGTTTGGTTTTAAAGTCATGTTTGCCTCTCTCAATCTCTGAAATATCAACTCAAGATGTTCTAGGTGTTCCTCAAAAGTCTTACTAAAAACTAGTATATCGTCTATGTATGTCAACGCACATTTCCAATTCAGATCTTTGAGAATTCTTGCCATAACAGACTGATATGTCGCACCGGCATTTCGAAGGCCGAAAGCTAAACGTTTAAATTGAAAATGCCCATGATGAGTAACAAAAGCTGTCTTAGGTTGAGATTCTGGATCTAACGGAATTTGCCAATAACCACTCGCACAGTCCAATGAAGAAAAATACCTACTTTCACTTTCTCCTACAGTGTCAAAAATATCAGACAATCTTGGTAATGGAAAATGAATAGGCTGAGTAACACTGTTAAGTCTACGATAGTCTATAGCAAATCTTAATGTACCATCTTTCTTTTTTACTAAGACTACTGGACTTGCCCATGGACTACTAGATTCTTCTATGATTCCATACTTCAACATTTCATCCGTTTGTCTTTCTATCTCAGCTCTGTTAGCTGGTGTCTGCCTATAATGAGCTTGTCTTTGAGGTAGTGCATTTCCAGTTTCGATAACATGACCTGAAATTTTAACCTCTCCTAATTCTTCCAAAGACAATGCAAAAACATCTCTATTTTGTGCTAAGAACTTTGTCAAAACAATTCTCTGAGTCTCCGTCACATCAGATGATGAAAGGTCAATTCCCATGTTCTTCACTACTTCATTAGCATAAACATTCTGAGATTGTTTATCCTTAACTACACTAGTATCATCTCCTGAGATATTCATATCAATACTTGCTTTGTTCTCTAAACTATAAATTTTCTCACGTTCTACTGCAGTCGCTTTGGCTAAAACCTTATTTTTGGGAATAACAATGGATCTCTCTGTTGGATTGTAAATTCTACATACTGTTGAACCCTTCTTTGGTTGTAAAACTGACTTTGCCAACATAAATTTGGTATTAGTAGGTTCTACTAACAAACAGCTATTTTTGATTCTATTGATTCTTGCCACCCTGACTGGAATAATAGTTTCGGATCTAGGTTCCAGAACTACCTTGCTAGATGTTCTTACTAAACCAATATAATTAGGTTTTTGCAAAGTATGTTTATTTCTGTTTCCTTGAAAATACAGAGAATTATCATTCAAGTCAATGATGGCTCCATTTGTTTTCAAAAAATCTAAACCCAAAATGATTCCTCTAGGTAAATTTTCAAAAACATGAAAAATATGAGAAAATGTTTGACACCCAATCTTCAGTTTCAAAAGGGTTTGACCTAAGGTGTTATATTTTTGACCTCCTACACCAGATATACTTTTGATTTTTGAACTTTGCATAGAACTTTTGAATTCTGAATCTATTCTTTCAAATGTCTTCTTGGATATACAGGATATACTTGCTCCTGTATCAACTAAGGATAAAACTGAATTTTTGCCAATAAAAACCTGAATTAAATTGTTGTTTTGGGGATCTTCAGAAAAAATTTCACTCATGTCCACATTTTGATCAGAGATTGAAGATTTCACATTGTGCCCGTACCCCTATTGTTTAACAGATCGGCAAACCACCGCAAAATGACCCATTTTCCTACAATTAAAACATTGTTTGTTTTTAGCTCTACATTTGTTTGGAGGATGGTACTCACCACAATAACTGCATCTTGCTTCTCTTCTGCGCCAGCTCTGCCATGGCCTAGAATTTCTGTTCGGAGGGTTATATGTTCTTCCTCCCGTCTGAAAGTAAACTTGTTGCGAATTAGATTTGTCTGTGCCATTTGCAACACTAACCTCTGCATTTTCACACTTCAAGTTTTGAAACATGTCAATCATTTTATGTAAACTATTCTCTACTACTTTCTCAATGCTGTGCTCAAGTGCACTTACAGTAGCTGAGTTATTTTCCTTGACAGCATTTTCTGCTAAGACTGAAGATTTTATCAAGTCATTAATTGATCTTGGATTTTGCTGCACCACTATTGTTTTAATGCTACTATCTAAACCATTTATGATAGCCATTTTGAGATGTTCTTCGGGAAGATTTGTGTCTTTCCCTAGATTTATCATTTTTGCAATGTAGTCTTGTACATTTTCACAATTTTGCTTCAAAGAAAATAAATGAACCATTTTGGCTCTGATAGATAGATTATTTTCACCATATCTCTGTTTGAAATGTGTTACTAAAGAATCAAAATTATTTTTCACATTGTCCTCCAAAGATANTTATTAATCTCCTGCTCAAATAAGTTTTGCGCCTCAAAACTTTCACAATTAAAATTAAAAAATCTATTTCCAATAAAATTCTATATCATCACAGTTAAATCATTTTATTTAAAATCATGCTTAATTAAAGATACCTAAACATTATTTAATCATATCATATTCTGTTTATATGAAACTTCTCATTACTGTTAATATGCACACAAAAAAAAATTTGAATTAATAAAAAAATTATAAAGTAACATTACATAATACTCATTCCCTCCAGCAAATATACTAAAATTTAACATAACATATCTTAGTTGTATTAATTGGCTATGTACTTCTCTATCCATTCCCTTCCATTTTCACAACTTTCTCCTTGAAATGGCAGTGGGCTTACATGTTGAGGAATTGTAATAACAACAGAATTGTTTATCTGTTGCTCTCTATTCGTTGACTGGCTAGCTGATGATGTATGGGGAACTTCTCGACTTGCTGTTGTGGTTAGGAGATTGTCATAAGGTGGAAAATGTCTCGTAGGTGTTGTTACTTATGGGGTCTGATGAACACTTGCCTGCATAGAGGTTCCTTGATCACTTGGATGCCATGGGAACTGCTGGCTCTCTGTGCTCATTGCCTTTGGACGTACACTCGGAATCATGGTGTAGTTTTCAATCACTGCAGTTGGTTTGCTGATACCAGTAGCTTGCAGTGGAGAATGCTGTCTGCTTGGTGTTATAGTTACTGAACTCGTGTAAATTGGCGACATCATAGCATCTGGTATTAATTTTGCTGCCCTTGTGCTTTCTGGATTTTTATCATTTTCATTCTCTCCGACATCTTCATTGATAGTTCTCAATTTATCTTTTATGATGTCTCTTTCCATTTTTCTGGCAGCTGATGTATAACTTCGTGTTTCTTTAGGAGAATATTTTTTCATTGTGAAAGTCTGGGATCTTCCTTTTAAACAATGTTATTAAAAGTTTGGTACCTCCACCAATTTATCAATGCGCGATGTCGGAGTAGTTATAAGAGACAACTCAAATACCGTCCAGTTCCAAAATCAGAATAGTTGCTTTATTGAATTTCACTTAGATTTTTATTACAGATTACTAGTCAAAATAACATTGTTTCATGTTTATTTCTTTGACTTTCCACTGAGAAACTCTGGAAGATAACTTTCACACACACCTAATGCATGCCAGCACATCTTCAATTTTTGACTTCATTCAAGTATGTGTGAATAGAATACTTCCACAGTCCCTCAGCTTTACACCTAAATAACCTTATCATAGTCCCACCCTGCCACCTGGTGGCCACTTTTTTCTGTCTCCCTTTTGGGTCTGCCCCCCCCCCCCCCCCCCCCATTACATTTTATCATACAGCTTTCTCTTCTTTCATGAAAAAATGAATACTTATTATTTTACAAAAACTTGAGGGCATCTTTCACCATATCTTCTTTGCTGTTTGACAGCTTGGTCTTCTAATTTCTGAGTGTCATCTTCAAAAACCTATTGCTTAACAAGCTGATTTTAGGGATGACAATTAAATCCATACTTTGAATATCTTGATTAACAGCAGATCTACACATTTTGAGAGCTGTAATGAATATGTTACAGTGAATGTAGTCTTTTTTCCTTTAATGGGCAATTCAAATAATTTTTTTTATTAACAGGTAATAGTGTAAAGATGTTGTGATTTGTATTGTAGTTGATAATGCTCTCTATTAGAAAAATATGATCTTCACTCAGGCTTTTGTGCAATCGGGGACTGTTTTTTTACTATAGTAGTGAATTATAGTTTCCTCCCCTTTTGTAGCATGCAGAGAATACATTTTAAAATCTTCTGAGACTATAGGGCTTCAATCAAAAGCTTATAAAAATGAAGTGGTTTTACTATTGATTAAGAATAAGTATTTCTTGAAAAAGCTCCCCCCTTTTTTTAATGAATACTTTATAACATATTGGTAATATTCAAATTGATAATTGCTTGTCATAAGACCACACATTGTTTCCTGTGCCTAAGCAGGAAGTTATGAATTTCAGAAACCTGAACATGACAGCCATCTTCCAATTATAACTGGCAAGAATTTTGCTACTCTTGGATAAGCACTTCTTTGTATAATCCTTTTGACCTTCTTCATATTTCTTACAAAGAATAGGTTTGTGTAGGTGTTGAGTACTCTTTTGTCATGAGGTCTTAATAATCCCTTCTTCCACTCCTAATACACAAGCAGTGAGGGCATTTATTTATCTCATTTTTCTACCAACCAAAGCTCTATAATCCTCTGAAATGCTATCCTCTTTCTGAGCATCATCTTCATTTATCTATCACTTTATAAACTGACATCTAAAGAAAGTTCTTAAATAGATGACCAGTTAACAATAGATCTACACATTTTGAGAGCTATGTTGTTGACAAGAAGTGAAAAGATTCAATACCCTTCTCCAGCGTGATTGGCAGCAAACCTTGGGATCTAAATGGATTTATTTGTTACAGCGGTTTCCATTCTTTATGTATTTACTCCATATTATGAGAGTCAAATCTGTACAATTTTTGAAGAAAATTATTTTAAGCTGTTACACGGTCAGAAGTGTAAGCACTATATAGTACATGGGTTCTGGTCACTGATGACAGGTAACTGCTACTCTTGTATTTGATCCACCTGCTCTTTTGAGTTATATGCACTATGTGCAGCTATGTTATGTAAGTAATACATACCTAGGGATGTTATGTGACCGTGGCGATATGCTGATCACTGAAGCCTGTCCATTTAGCCAAGCTTCAGTGAAGATCGAGGGCAACCCAAGCTGCTACCCAGAAATATCTTGCTTCACTCGACATTTCTGCGTAGCATCTCTCAGAAAACTCCAGTAAATTCAATAATGTTTACGACAACCCACTTAGTTGGGGGTGAATTTTTTTTTTCCGGAGAACGGACGAAAATCGGTGCAGGTGCAGGATGTCATCCATAAAAACATAAAAGTGTGGCCTTAGCAAAAATTGGCCAAATTGGTCAGACATTACATAAGGATTTGGCGGGAGATGACCAGTGCACGTGGAAGAGTTTATTCCATATAACATCTCTAGAGCGTGATATAGGGTCACTTTATTCGGTTTAAGGGGTGTTTTAGGGTGAAATGACTACATTTATATTTGTTCTCGGTATGTATGTCAAATAATACACTGTCCCCCTCTCGCGATATATGCCATGAACACCTCGAGTGTCAGCGAGAGGTGTTATGGCATATATTGCACAAGTGACATTGTATTATCTCACACGTAATTATAACAAAGCGTGGATTCTTCCTGAGGGTTTGTCTGGAGATGTGCCTCTAAAGCATCACTTTGAATACTGTCGCTTTTCATAGGGGTATCTCAATTTTTGTGGAAAGTTAAGACACATGGTAGTTTTTTATTATTTGTTTTTAATAACTATTGGTTTGAAAATACTTTTTTGCATTAAAAAGGAAATATCACTGCACATACTTCTATAAGATGTTAAGCCAAAGTGTCATTGTTATGAAAAAAAAAACATATTTTAATAAATGGAATAACATTTTATTTGATATACCTTACAGATAATGAAGTACAAATTAATAGGAAATTAATCTTCATGATTGTAAACGTTTTGAGCACTGATAATTATCTTTGGTTATCAGCTTCAAATTCCAAAGTACTAAGTGAAACTAAAAGTGAAAATGAAAAGCTTGAACCTACAGAGACTATTTCAAATATCATAGCAGCTTATTCTTTTCTCCCCCTCTCTCTAGATCTGATACACAGATCATGGAAGTACAGTTGTCATTCCATGTACAGATATTTATAACAACTTCAATAACCTCAATATGGAATAGGTGTACCTTAGTATGTTTTGACATCTTAAACTTTTCAGCAGGTCTTGACCTTTTCAACACCTGGAAAAAGCACACACTTGCACCCCCTGAGAATATCAACAAAGTTATAACTGAGATTCACACCTTATGTTTATATATAAACCACATTAATTCAGGCATCTTCATAAATTAACATATATTTTCTTTCCTATAACACAGTATTAGTTATTTGGAAAAGACTGACCACTGTGTTACAAGACTGTTTTCTCATTGGGTGACCATCAATAAACATTTTGAAAACGGAATAACTTGTGTTTGTCGCTTACTATCGGAGAGAAATATTATATACTATAACATGAAAAAAATGTTATAAATACAATGCTTTTTAAAGCATGGCATTTATATTAAAATACATGGAAGTAGTAAAATGGTTTAAATTCCAGAAGACGCATGATGGCATTTTACCAATATAAATGCATAACTTCAGTAATGTAAACCTAGCTATAATACAAACTACTGCTATAATCTATTATATACCTACAACAAAATGTGAGTAAACGATACATAAATTAGGCAGACACTTGGTGAACATTTACATACAAAAATAATATGAATACTTAACCAATGATTAAAATGACAAACTCCTTTCTGACGTGTGAAAACTGACATAAATACATAACACTTTTACATACCAAACAAGTGACGCTGTCACTTTTGTAGTAATAATATTGTATCAATGGGGAAAACAATGCTGATAAAAAATCACTCATTTTCATATATATATATATCTACATAAATATACAACTGCACTTTGTAGATTTTCTTATGCTGTGACATTTAAAATCACTACATAAAACGCTGCCTCTGGGACATGCAAGGCCATCTTTTTCTAATTTACACATACACTGCTACACCATTTTATGTATACACACATTATACCCATTCCTACAGACCACATCTGGCTCCGTTTACAAATACTATCAGACATACTGTAATTAATTAAGGTATCGGTAATTTATAGAATAAAATAACAAGAACATTTTAGTCTTTTGATTTTTTGCATGAGCAAATAATACAAAGATGATCATGTTAAGAACGCAGGCACCTACTGGTTTGTCTTTGATAAAAATGTTGTATAAGAGATGCTAACCTAATAAATAAGGATTTTATTAACATCAAAATACTGATTTAGGAGGGAGTATTTATAGGTTTTAATGCTATCTGAAAACAATATAAAGGGTCTATTTTAGGCAGGGGATCTAAAACCCTGACACTGGTCATGTGAGGACATTTTTGGAACTAGTATTTTTTTTTTCTATTTTATCCCAGTGACCAGTTCTGTTTTTTGTAACATAGACAAAACTCAGTTTTGTAATATCACGTATGTGATGAACGCTTCATCATCTTTGGGTGCAAGGAGCGTTCACTCTCTTTGACTCTCTTCAAGCGGGTTCCCTGGTCTTTGATTAACTCAGCCATCTCTGGAATGATAATTTTTTTAATTAGAAACCCCTCAAAATGAAATACAAATAAACATTGTCAAACTTTGAATGAATAAAATACTTAAGATCATGTTCAAATTTCTGTTAGGAAAAAATAATTCAAAGCTTTTTCAACAATGACAATCTTGAAGACAGCCTGAAAGATCCAGAAAAAAAAATCAATAAAAAATTAATGCATGTACTTCAGATGCACAATGACAAAACACGCTGCTGCTTGTAATGAAAAGAAAAACAAAACAAAACAAAACAAAAAAAAAAAAAAACAGTTGCCAGCATTTTAAACTATACCTTTATTCTCCTGCTGCAGGTGCCCTCCCATCTGTGTGAGTCTTTCTATCTTGTCCTCCAGTCTCTTGCACAGCTCCTGGGCATCACTGTTTACACGGCCAGGAGCACCTGAGTGAAAATATTCTATTTTATTTAGTTACTAATGTCATGTCACTAGATCTCCCCAGCATACTTGGTTAATTATAAAAATAAAATACCACAAATTAAACATTTGTTTTTAAATTACTTGACAAAAGATGTTGCACTGACAGCACAAATAAAACTGTCCAACTTCCATGATTTGCTTTCGACAGAAATGTTTGCAAATCTGTTGGAAGCACAACCAATAAAATATACTCATTTACCTTTAGGTCCCTGAGGTCGCAGCACAGGCTCACTGTAGGTGTCACTGGCCCACTCTGTCATGTGGCTACCTGGAGGTCCCAAATATCATGCTTTACTAATTTCTGTTTACAATAATTTGAGATAATTCATGATTTCAACAACAATGCAAAATAAAAAATTTCATCCTTTCAAATTGTGACATGACTGACATCACACAGAATTTTGAAAATGGATTAATTTATCATACCAAATATTGTTAGAAAGTATTCATAAATACAGTGTGCATATAAGGAAATTGGAACAAAAGTGATCTTAACTTGACTATCAGTTACAGAATATCACTACAAAGGCTATGATATGAAAAAAAGGCCAAAATACAGAAATATCAAAATCGTTCCATTCATTACATCTATTCCTTACAATATATATATATATATATATCTTTTTTTTTCAGATGAGATGATCTTCAATTTTTAGTTAGTCCATAATGTTGTATTTTGTGTTAATCTCCCTGACCTGTAGTAGAGCTGACAGCTGTACCAGTCTGCCTGGAATCCCTGCCTGACCGCATCGTCTGACCATACGAGGTGTGACTGGACTGAGGTCGTGGGGGGCGCTGGTTTTCAATAGTGTCCCTGTCTGATGTCAGTGTCTGCACAGAGGATGGGCGGCTGGAGTGTGAGCGCTGTCGGTGCTGATTGCCATTGCTTACGACTGGTTTTAATGAAGAAGAATGCACAGGAATTCCTAAGTGACAAGATGATGGTTCAAAGGTGATAAGGGCAGCATGCTTTAGAGTGATTAAGTGCAGAAACTTACTGGGAAACTCAACATCACAAATTGCTGACAATTACCAAACTTTTAATGCACAATTTATTTTTAAAATCAAAATGTTCCCTAAAACCAAATTTCAAAGCAAAATGTAGGTCATTTTTTCCATAGTATAATCAAGACAAATGTCTTGTAGTTTTTCTTTTTTTAGTGCATGAAAGCGTGACTATGTCTGTGTATTTTTATGTCTATATCTTAAGTTAAAGGAAAACACAGACATCAATTTCTAAATCACCTGAAAAGTTTTAAGGTGAAATGCCCATTTCATTTAACTTTAGTAAAATGACTTTACAGCTCTACCTGTATGTGAGTCTGTAGAGTTACTGGACTGTTCATATGGCCTTTGTCTATTTGTCTGCCTGTCCCCTGTGGAGTTTGGAGGTGGGAGGACAGCTGGCTGCTGCTGGGGCTGGGGCTGTTGCTGGGCATTCATTATCAGGGACTTCATCTCAGTGAGCAACGTCCTGAGTTCATCCCCTGCTACATTGTTCAATGCTGCTGTTGACTCGGTTTTTTCCTGCAATTGAAACACATTTTAAGCTATTGCTATAAGTTTGTTCCTTAAGGCACGAAACTCTATGATAATGTAAGTTATGTAATCTTTTTTTTTTTTAATTTCTCACCAGGAAATGATTTAAGTTCAAATTTCTGAAACCCTAATGCTCATAGTCTAGAATAGCATTTTTGAATCAAATGGTATTCATTTCATTTGTAAATATTATGTCCCTAAATAAGAAGACAGTCACTTTAGTGTAATTATCTACCTGTCCTGGTTTATGCAGCACAGGCAGCTCATCCAAAGATCCTGTTGACACTCTTCCTAGTCCCTGTGTCACTACTGAGCCTGTTCCCTGTGATCCAGCTGTTGTCTGCCTCTCAGATTTGGGGTTTACAGAAGTAGATACAGTAGGGGTCCCAGTGTATACAACATGAGTGGAATGTCTTGATGGGGGCTGTGCTAACCTTTCCAAAGCCTACAATAACATGAAAATAAAAAATAATGATATAATGGCAGCTGAAATTGGTAAGTTGATATAGAATTTATGGTATGCACGCACGTGCACACAAACACACACGCATAAAAGTATCAGAGGACTTTCATGCCCATTACCTTAAACACACACCATGCACGCACACATGCACGCATGCACACACACACACACACACACACACACGCATGCATGCACACATTAAGGTATCACAGGATCTTTAAACCCATTATAATTATTACCTTAATATCCAGTTGGTGCCTGAGTTTCATGCTGGCCATTTCTTGTTCCATTGTCTCCAGTTTGGCCACTGCCTCTGCATGCTTCACTGCGGCCTGTAAAAAATACAGCAAATCTTTAGAAAATAACACATTTCAAGAATTAAATGCTCAAGAAATCAACTAAAAATGTTCTATACAAGCTTATTTCATCAACAAGGATAGACCCAGAAAAAAAAAAAAAACATAGAGCATACTTTTTCCAATGCTGTCTCTAATCTGTCACATTTTGATTTCAGGTCTTCATTTTTCTTGGCATACCCCTCCAGCTGGTCTGCTAGCTTCTCATTCTGTGTTGAGGAGTTGTTCAGGGAAGATGACAGTTTCTTTCTCTCCTGCTTGAGGGCTTGTTTATCCTATCAATCAAGTTTAATTTTCAATATTAAATTCAAGTTTGAAACTTACATGATAATAATACAATAATAGTTTAGATCTTAACCAAAAACTTTGAGCATTGCCTCATATCAGGAGAGTGCTCCAAGAATGTAAACTGAGAGCTTACTGAGGGGGATAGCAGGAACAAAAATAATTTTTTAAATATCAAGAGATTTGACTTCAGTCCAATTGAATCACTTCTCTTTCTCCTGAGTCATACTTATCAATTATCATCAATCCTTGCTAAGTTTTGTAAATCAATCCAACTTTGTAATTTTTTGCTGAGGGGCCCTCACAAACCTTCAATGCAGCATCTAAACATTCCTCCAACCAATGCACTTTACTCCTCAGGGAGTCTATCTCTCCTCTCTTGGCTGTCACTTCCTTCTGCATCTTGTCTGCATACTTCACAGCTGAAACATGTGGCATATTCTTTTTTTAAGATTAAATTTAACAATCGATTAGAATGTGAAGAAAAGTAACATGGTGTATAAAAAAGCAAGGCAAAGGGTGAAAGTGTTTTTATTGGAAAATGGTATTTGTCAAGTATTTAGTCACTCTAGGAAAGTAGAGACAGGGTAAAAATGAAAAATCTTGAAGCAGAACAAGTTTACAGATTTTTTTGGATTAGGATATGCTTTGGTTAATAAGGAAAATTTGTGAAAATTTCCAGGAAAAATCTTTTTTACCTAGATATAAAATGTTTATTACACAATGTGGAAAAGTAGCTGCTACACATTAAAGCTACCAGCATTTCATTAATATTGATATTGATTTCATCAATATCAATATTAATATTGATTTCATCAAGATTATATCACAACAGACCCTGAAACACAGGAGAAATCACTAGATGGGAGGACTTAACATAAATGACTAAGTCATTTTCTTTAAGGTTTACTGATATGATTAGAGAAGTTAAAATAAACACAATTTTTACCTTTACCATCCACGGCCTCCTTTGTCTTTATGGCTTTCTGTGCTATCCTGTACTCCTGCTGCAAAGCTATAGAAAAATATCAAACTATTTGTAAAAATCATAAAATTAAATGTGTCAAAAGGCATATTCAATGTGGTAGTTTTTAACTTGAAATGAACATTTTCCTAACAAGGCATGGAGTGTAATAATAAAAGAATTTTTATTTCTTTACTTTTTTATAAAAAAGCATGAAAAATGCACAGACACCTAATGTCAAGGCACACTGAAATGCCTTATTATCCATAACTGAGAATAGAACAAACTACTCTGACACATACCAACATATTTTTGAGTTAATCTATCCAGCTCCCCCTCCAACTGTTTCTTCTGTTCTTCCTTCTGTTTTTGGATCTCATCTCTTTCTTCGGATAATGTTGCTACCTCATATCTGCTATCTTTAAGCTCCTGATACAAACCATCTTTCTCTTTGATAATAGCATCTATATCTTGTCTTTTTATCTGCAGCTCTTCTATGAGCTTGTTTTTATCAAGTTCAATATCTTTAAGTCTTTTCTCACGTATTTTAAGTTTTCTTGTGATGTTGCTTTTGGCAAGTTTAAGTTCTTCCAGTTCAATTGTTCTTTCCTCTATTGATTTCAAAAGCCTTTCTCTCTCCAACTTGAGTTCATCATTGGATTTAGAGTTCAACTCAATGGCATGGGACATGTCAGTGCTCTGCCTCTGTAATGCAGTAAAATTTCTCTCCTTTTCATCAAGCCTAGTAGATAACTGTTCGTTTTCAGCCTGCAATGTCTTTAGTTCCTGATTTCTCTCCTCAAGGAGCCCAAAATAATAATCTCTTTCCTGGGTTAATCTCTGACAATCATTTATTCTGTCTTCCATTAATGCACCTAGGTTAGTCTTTTCAGCTTCCATGGTCTCGATTTTGACTCGTGCATCCTGGTTTTTTTCAGTCAGTTCTGTGACCTGTTTTTTGAGATTTCCATTCTCTGTCTGAAGTGTCTCAATCTCGTAGGTCATTCTAGTACTCTTCTCTGTCAGCGTTTGAAGCTGTATGGTTAGTGTTGTTATCTGTTCTGCAGTTTTTAATTTTTCATCTTTCTCTATTGAAGCAACCTGAAGAGAAATGTAATTATACAATAACATTTTCAATTTAACACAAGCAACAAAGACAGGCAATTCTGTTGAAATTTGTTAAAAAGAGTAAAGTACTTTATATTTAAAAGAATAATATAAGTGATAGCAATTTAAGCAAGAGTTTTCACATGCAAACTTTTCTAAAAATAATAATACTTCTTTTTAAGCTAGAAACTTTAATTTTTCAGCATCAATTACATGATTACACACAGGAGCAAAAACCAAGTCAGAATGTGTAATTTCTTAGCATGAGTATTTTTCCCTTTTTGTTCAATAACCTGTCTCTCTCTTTTTATGCAGAAATATATTTTTAAAAAATGAAAAAAAAGAAAACAAAAACCTACCCTGTCTTTGAGAGTAAGCTCACACTCTGCTTTCACAGAGTCCATCAGCATCTCCAGTCTCTCAATTTCCTTGTCCTTCTCATGAAGTCTGCTCTCCATCTCGATCTGTTTCTTGTTGGCCTCGTCCTCTCTCTGCCACAGTTTCTTCATCTGCTCTCGGTCTGTGTCCAGTTCATCTGATAACTTCTCCACCTGGAGCTGGAGGCAAATGCAGTTTGATAAAGTTATGACAAGCTTCAAGACACTTTGATCTATAGTATCTAATTTCTTAATGATGAGTCTCCAATTAAAAAATATATTGGACTGAAGGATAAATCCTCCAGTGCAATGGACATGCCACATATGTTTACAGTCATACCATTTCTTAAAGCATACTTTCAATATAGTGTAGTCAAATGTAATCCAAGCAGTTAAGGGTCCTGTAAGTCCCACCTTCAACTTTATATCAAGTATGTGCACTCTTTTCTGTGTCACCAACAAAACCAACTTAATATTTTCATTGAGTATATTCACCAATCATGTCACCATCAAATCTCATCATTTTAAATGTTGCATTAAGTGCACCCTGAATCAAAAACCAATTTACACCTTTCATCATTACATTAGTGCACCTCCCCATCCACACACACACACACAAACACACTGTCACTATCACACCTCCCCCACTACTCAGAGTAAACCACTGTGTAAACATGCCTGGTAGTCCTCAATCCTTGTCTCCATGGCAGCAGCAGTCTGGACAGCCTCCTGTTTCTCACTCCTCATCACATTCAGTTCCTTCTGTACCTGGTCCACAGCCAGCTCCAGGGCCTCTCTCTGTAGAATATTATACAGAAAACATCTCAATCAGAGAAGTACCACGTATGTTAACCAAGTCTGCAACATCAACATTGGTCCTATGCCAAATACAGGGTTGAGAAAGCCATATAATGAAGAAGTCTGAAAATATGGGGCAGGGTCCACGGGGCACCTGCATTAATCAAAAAAATGATATTATTGGCTCCCAAATAGTCGGAAATGCACAGGTGGTGGGAAAAAACTTGTAAGTGCAAATGCCAGTAAAATACCAGTAAAGTGTGGTTCAGGTCAGCAGAATTTTTTTGTAATACTTTCTAAATATAAAAATATTTTTGATGCTAACACAGACAATTTGCCAGTGCAGAATGGTTATTTTTCACCTTTTCTGTCCATCCTTTCTTTGCCACATCCTGGTCTTCTTTTAGACTGGTGATCTTATTTTCCAGCTCTCTGATGTGGTCATCCTTCATCTGAGCTTGTTTGTCCAGCTGCTCTCTGGAATATGGGAACAATTTGCTTGCAGTCACAATAATTTTGTACAATTACTTTACTAATAAAATGTTTAAATGCTTTTCAATGAAAAATTAACATTGGAAACAAAACATCAAAATCAGATAGAAGTGCAATTAAATATTTCTGAAACTTAATCTTTTTATGTAAATGATTTATAGATTTTTATGTAAATTATTTATGCTAAATAAAATGAAAACCAAAAAGTATTTTTACAGTCTAAATAAAACTGTGCCAAAAAAAAGCCATGATACTGTCATCTATACGTGTCAATCCCAACTTTTAAAAGCTGCAAATTTACATTGACTGTATATAACAAGGCTTAACAACCTGTTCAGATATAAGTGTCCATGTTTAACCTTTGAACACAGGTGTGTGTGTGTGTGAGTGTGTGTGTGTGTGTGTGTGTGTGTGTGTGTGTGCAGATGTGTACTCACTGCATCAAAGTAATCTGTGACTGAAGATTGGCTGCCTGCTCTCTAGCATTGGCTGCCCTGTCTGCAGCAGCTTGCAACTGCCATTCATGTTCTTCTGTCAGCTGACTTAACCTGAATAATAATAAATATTGTGGTCAAACCAAGAACTGCCCTTTTCTCCTGAGCTCATTCCTAAAAAGATTTCTACATAATTAAATCAAAACAAATTTCAATCCTCTTATCAGACTGACATGTTGTCTGTTTGCCATTTTGAATATTTGATAATCATCTCATTTACAAAAATCTAAATGAGGCATATTTAAAACAGCCTGAATTTAAGAGCAATGCACATAAGTTTTTTTTTTCCAAATTTCCATTCATTACGACTGCTAGTCTGAGTTCGATAAGTACACAATTACAGAAAACGAAGAAGCTAAATATAACTTAGAGAACAGTCATATAATTTTCTCTAACCTTTGCTGGTGCTCTACAATCAATTTATCTTGTGTTCTTCTGGAAGATTTTTGTAACTCTTCTAGGTCATTTTCAAGCTGAAACAAAAATTAAAAAACATTTTTAAAAAGCTGAAATATTTTCATATTGTGCGTAGGCCTTCGATCTATCCAACTTTGCAAGGACTTTCACTGAATGCAATAATACTGAATGAACAGATTAACACGCTGTTTATACTGGTTTAAATACAAATCAACACACCTGTTTCATTTTCCCAGCCTTGGTCTCCAGGTCACTCTCCATCTCCTGCACACACCGCTCCAGTGTGTGTACCACCATTGTGCTGCTCTGCTTGTCGATGGGCTCAGAATCGTAAAAAGACTTGCCACGCTTCTTCTCCACCGATGCTATCACCGCCCTGATCTGGTTCAGGGAGGTGTCAGCCACATAAAGATTCTGGCTGAGTTTGTCTGTCTTGGAGCCTGTTTCCTGAAGAGTCTAGAAGAAAAGAACCACAGTTTGAATTATGATGAAACATGTACTTTTTCAGCAATAAAATAAATGTGCATTGCACTGGATTTTGCATTTTTTCAAATTAAGTCCCCTGGATAAGGGTTACATTTTGCAGCCAAATAATCTGACTTAACAGAAAGACACTGCCTTAATTTATCCCATTTGGAAAATAACACAGTCTTGGAAGCCCATGACATCTTTCCAAGAGTTGTACCTTGCTTAACTTCTTAATTCAGCATAAATGTACATTCTGACCTTTTCTTGCACACTGTAAGCTTCCTGCAACTGACGTAATGTTGCCTGAAGTTTTCTGATCAGATTCTCTTGACTTTCAGCTTCCCTTTGTCTTAAAAGAAAGGAAAAAGAAAAACATCACAATATTAGTTAGAAAGTGGATAAGGTCAATTTTACATTTATATTTCTATTTGTTGGCACTAACTTTTCAAACATCCATTTAAACAAATGTGAAAACAGCATATTACTTCTGGGCTAACAGTTGTATTTTTGTATATCTACATGGTAATCTATGGTAAAAGAAAGTTATAACTCAAACCACAGCACACAGCTTATAAACTAGGTTGTGGATCATGAATCTTACCTTAGGTCCATTATAGAGTCTCTGTTCACCACTGTCTCTTGTAGTTTTGACTTAAGTTCTTCTATATGTGCTCGAAACTGTTTTCGCTGCTCCTCGCTCACTTCTTTGGCCTGAATTAAAATACAACTTACACGTCAATGCTGACTACAAAAAAATTACCTTGAAAGTTGTACAGTTGTTGATAAATGTTTTCAGCACTCAAAAATAACACATAATAATGTAAGTGAGGCAAGCTCATTTTGCCAACACTATTGCCTACAAAATTTGTAAATTATATTCAAAAAGGTTGTTTTTTTTGTTATAAGATCTGAAAATTGATACTCATGTTCAAAAAGACAGCTTGGTGTCATTTTGTGATGAGTAAAAGTCACAGTGATTTCAAGACAATTAAACATGTTTATATCAGTTACCTCTTCCAATCTTTTCCTGAGACTAGCAACATGTTCCTGGGATTCTTTTAATGCTTTTTCCATGTGAGGCCTGCAATAAGAAAAGAGACCACCACATAACAGAAGGATAATGATTACTTTTTTTGCCAAAAAGATAGACTATGTATTATTAGTTACTCATGCCTTCTAACAGTCAGTCATCTCTCTCTCTCTCTCTCTCTCTCTCGCTCTCTCTCTCCCTCTCTCTCTCTATGTTACTCACTGTGGCAATGTGTCCAAGGACTTCCTGGTGGTACTAGGGCCAGCAGATGAAGACCTGAGTGGAGAGGTAAGTATACTTGGACTCAGAGGTAAGGAAGAGGGGAGGGGCACACCTGTATCTTGGAACAACTTTTTCTGGATCTGGTCCATCTCTTTCTTTTGACTTTCAAGCTGCATCCTAAGATGCAATGTTTTTAATAATTATGATTTGTAATTTGCCACCCAACTGACATTCGAACAGAGAAAAATTATAATAATGATGATAAAAGTAATAAGACCACCTATAAAAATAAAGATATCTGCAAGTTTTTTTATTCCATTTTTAATTCACTATTATTATTTTCTAGTTTATTATTTTATTTTGTTTGTTTGTTATGCAAGTAAATCATATATATTAATACATCTTTTTGAGCAAGAAAAGTAGCTGTTTCTAGGCAAGTGAGTTAAGAAAGACCTTACTGTTAACCCATGCTTAAGCATTCTAGATAGAGAAATATTGGTCTCACCTGAGATCTGTTATACTTCTCTGGTCTGTGGTAATATCTGTTACAGTAGCTAGTGAAGGAGGCTGGTAACTACTGCTGGGTTCATAGTAATGTGTCACAGAGGGGGCAGCACCTGTCGACAGCTGTAAAACACACAGTGGATGAGCTCACATCTCCCTAATATCAATTTGACTGAGACTTGTGCCCTAACCCCCCAAGACAAAGATTTTGTTGTTGATTTTTAAAGCTGAAAAACTTTATACAAAGTGGCCTTGGATTTCAAGTGTTTCCTGGACAACTTTTTTTTTGTCAAAACTTGTGGCCCATTCCCAGTTCTTCTAGTTACTTCATAAGGTTATTTATGGAATGCAAGATTGAAAGAAAAAAAAAATGAGTAAACACTTACCTGACTTATTCCTCCATTCATTGTGTATTTAGATGGAGATCCTAAAGATAATGCAAAATTTTAATTGTATGATTATTGTAACCTTTTGTAGAAGCACATGGAATATGCATGACAATTTTGGACATTCTATATAAAGGTAAAAAATGAAAGATAATACTATCAAAAACAAGATTTAATTCAAAATGATATTTTAAGCAATTTTAGAATAACTTCTAATAATAAATGCAAAATTTGAAAAAATTACTGATCACTTTTTCCATGCTGTGCCCGAAGGCTTTACCAGTAAGCTACTGGAAATGGATACAATGTCATGTGAGATATCAAGTCATAAAAAAAGGCTATACGGCAGTTGCTTTTAAACTGCACAATTTAGGAGGCATGCCTCATTCTTAAGTTAATTCAATTATTTGCTTTAACCCCAAGTATATGACAAACAAAGCCTTGAGTCAACAAGGCCAGGAATGAATGTTTATACAATGGCCTGCGATTCAAATACAGTAGCAGAGAAAATTATCTGGGTGACTGGCAATGGTTGAGCAGAAAAGAATGTATTCAGGAATGGATCATTAATTTTTATGAAACAAACTAATTTATGGCAGTCATCAGAAGGTCACAAGGTAAAATATACTTTAGGTATGGAATTCTAGTACATAATATAAAATTACAGTTGTTAGCTTTTATTTTATCTAATTAATTTATTATTTTTTTATTCTTTTTTTTTTTTTTTTTGAAAATTCAATTAAAAACCAGATCATACCAAATTGTTCAGTGAATTACTGTTGAAATATGATCACTGCAATTGACATTTGGGGGTATCTGGGCCTTTTCTTTGATATGGTATCCATCAAATATTATAATGGGGAGGGGCCAAATGAGTGAGCAGTCAAACTGAACAGAAATTGCTTTTGATATTGCTCGAAAATACTTTAGAAGCCCATGCTGAAGTGGTGTCAGCATAATATCTCAAGCCAAAAATGGAAACATGAATCAACAAATTCTTATAGCAGACAAATGGCAAAATTAGTTACTATTTAATCATAACGTCATGGCAGTCTAAAATAGCGTGCTAAAGTGTTACCTGGATCACTTCCACGGCGTAATCTTTCACCTTCCATCTCCAACTGCCGTATCTGATCAAGGAAATCTGCACTGCTTGGTCCTCGTGAGCGTGATAGTCGACTGCGCGAGGGACTAGTCACCAGCGACGCATTCAAACTTGACGCCATTTTTCGGTAGCTCGAATCAGTTCCCTGAAGTTGTAAAAAAATAAACGTTTTCTCAGTTATGCATCTTCAGACTGGTCTAATTCTCACTGAACTGCAGCAATATTGCATTCTTGGCTCTATCTTATCTTTGATTTAAGAATGTCAGTATGGTTCGTGCAAAGATCTCATTGTAAACAGTTTGTTTTTCTTCACAACGAATACATGTGAAGCGGAAGTATTTTGCGGACATGCGCAAATTCAAACATACCGGAAGCCGCTTATATCTACATAAAATAATGAGTGAGATAGCTGTGGCCTGTGGCAGGTTAGTTAGGTGTTACTTGTTGTAGGAAATATGATCATGAGATGCTCATTTACAAATAACGCTATTTATGACTGGACCTTGGTGCTAATATGCAGTCATTCTGGGGTTTTGCTCACGAAATAAATAATCAAACTAAAATTCTAAAATTTGTTAATTTTATCATTTTATGCTCATTAAAATTTATGAATTAAAAAAATTGCATATGTTCGTTACATTTGTAACTGTTGTATGCGAAATGTTAAAAACAGCAATTTTGTTACCATAGTGTTCAGTTTCAGTCCATTATGGTGTATTTTATTAGCTAAATTTACGTAATTCACGGTGATTCGTTTTTATTTTTTTTTTTTTTTTTATTTATTTTTTTTT